CCTACGTAGTGTAGTGTATGTTTAGCTCCATTATTGTTCAAATTTCATTGTACAATCTCTTAGTACTTAAATAATCAACTACCTCATTTTGTGATTTTACTAGTAAGCATAAGTCACCTTATGTAATTTTCTTATTTACTATTGTTTGCTTAAACATTAGCTGAATTGATACTTTCTCTGTCCATATTACTACCTCTTATTTTTTTTTAAATACTATCAATTGATATTACTTACTAAAATTAATAATTATCATTTTTACTATAATTTCAAGTTACTCTTAAATTTTGACATTTAATAACCATTACTTTTCTAATTACCTTTACCTGTTTTAATACCACTTTTTACTATCTTAGAGTATTCTTAATTACCTTGTACTGCATATAACCTCTAGTATAACTACCAGTGCAATTTGAATGAAATAAACATTACTTTTTCACTTTTTTTGTAATCATTATTACTTACTAAAATTTTTTAAACACCATATTTACTACCAGTAAATTTTACTTTTGTACATTAAACTTATTTGATATTTCCCCATAAATTTTGTTGCCAAATTTTCAAGTTGTATATTCAACTCTAACCTTTATATTATATTTTTTACCTGTGTACCTGTGTCCCTGTTACCATCTTACATTATATTATAACCAAGATATTATATTGTTTTTTTTTTTCTATTTTTTTTGGTACTTTAATTTGTGAATTTTTTTTGTCAATTTAAATTAGTTATACTCTTGATCTTGTCAACAACCTATACCAGACTCTAGTGAAATTGCAAGTCCCATTTCAATTTGTATTTTTATATTATAAGTTTTATTTATAATTCCCTTTCTTAAGATTGTTTTCATATCTTAGTGACTATATTGTGTGTGCAATTAGTGTTATATTTCAATTATATTATTGTTAAAGGGCCCCTTTAAAGCTATCTTTTGCTAACTAGTCCCAACTACCTCATATATCTTTTTTTTTTTTTTACATTTTTTATTCTTTTGCTACCTTAACTTGTATATTTTATCTTGTCAATTTAAATTAGTTATACTCTAATTCTTGTAAACAACTTATATAACACCTTAGTGCAATTGCAATTGAGAGTCTTGTGCCTTTTTTATATTTTAGATTAAACTCAGTTGTACTATAGTCAATACCAAATTCATTATATTAGACCTTATTGCAATTACGAGTGGAGACTGGTGCTATTTTTAATTTGAATTTTTTATTATTAGATTAAATCTAGTTGTACTATAGCTCATTCTAGCTCAAAACATGGGACTCCACAAAAGTCATTATATTAGACCTTATTTGCAATTAAAAGTGAAGAGTCTTGTTCTATTTTAAATTTGTATTTTTATATTACTATTTTATACTAGTTGTACTTTAGTTCATTCCAGCACAACACATAAAACAAACATCAACTTCATTATGTTTTGTAGTGACTTTTAATCTATATGACCAAATACTCTAGCTATATACTTATCAAGCTTCCCACCATACAGATATCAGTACCAGAACTCAACACATAATCAGGATATAAAAACCATAATTTAAACCTAAAAGATGATTGATCACGTTGACCCTGATCTAAACCTCCATAATCTGACACCCAATCAAAACCTATTGGAAAGTAACTGCCTTTATTACACAGCATCACAAGCCGCACTATCCTAAACAATGCAAAAAGCTATCAGTACTTAACTACAACATCAGGTCCTTAAGCAAACACTATGATGACCCCCCTGGCACTCCTTGAACCCACTAAAAGACACCTTCTCCTGCATTATTCTTACTGAGACCGGCTAAGCAGGACAAAATAGATATCTCCCCTTACCAGGATACACAGCAATTCACAACTGCAGACCAAACCAAGTTGGGGGTGGTATTGCAATCTATTACTCTAACCAATTATCTTGTATTAGCACCATTTGCTTTAGTGATGAATATGGGGAATACATTTTTGCTAATTTTACTGTAAAAAAACCTTAAGACACCTATAACAATCGGTGCCATTTACCGGATACTTCACACAACTCCCAAATTTCAGTGAGAATTAAAGTCACTAATAACAACAGACAAATGAATAAGCACCACTTCTCTTGCTGGAGACTTCAACATCAATCTTGGCTTACTAGATGATCAGCCTGTAACTGATTTCATCAACAATATGAACAACACACTTCTCATACCAACAATAATTAAACCAACCAGCTCACTGAGACAAGTGCAACCTTTAATAGACCACATATGGACCAATATACTGGGCCCCCTTAAATCAGGGATAATCACAGATAGCACTACAGACCACTCCCCTTTACCTTCCTCCTGCAAACATTAATAAACCACCCTTGAATAAACAAAGTCTCATTTAGACTCCATGAGAGGCCTCAATAAGGAAGTTCACAACTGACCTAGAGATTGTTGACGGGCCACAGAATTCTCCAAGGCCAATGGTATTGATGACTGGACAGACATTTTTTTAACAAATTACTTAGACTATACAACAAACATTGTCCTATAAAAACGAAAACAGATCACAAACAAACGACTTGGTTGCCATGGCTAACCAGCCCTTTCTGAAATCCATTGACAAGAACCCCAATATAAAAAGCATATAGACAGGGCTTAATACACAAAGATATTCTTAAACACTATTTATCAGTTCTCACCAAAGTAAAAAAGAAACCCAAACAACTATACTACTCCAGTAGATTCACAGACACTAGAGGAGATATAAAAAGACCTGGAAAACACTCTCTCAGATTTAGGGACCCAAAACTGAAAAAAAAACAAAAATATTGTCCTAACTAAACTAATGAAACACCACTACATCCCACGGGACACAGCAAACAAGATAAATGACTTCTTCTCAACCATAGGATCTAATTCGCCGATAAAATCCCACATACTAATGCCCTTTGCCGGGTACTACCTAGATGGGGAATTTCCCAAATTCCTTCTATCTTGCCCCAACTGACCCCTCGGAAGTCACCGAGAGATTATAAAGTCACTTAAAAACAACTAGGGAATCTGTCTAATGTCCCCCCATTACTGTATAAGCGAGCGGCCCATATCCTTTCGCATGTATTTCATTACTTTTTAACAAGTCACTAGAAACTAGCACCTTCGAAACTACTAAAGATGGCAAGGGTTTACACCAATACATAAAGGTGGTGACCCTACAGACTTAAACAACTATAGGCCAATATCAACTTACCATTGCTATCAAAATCTTTGGAGAAACTCGTGCACAGGAGACTATATTCATTTATAACAGCACAAAACATACTCAACCCTGCCAATTTGGATTTAGGAAAAATAAAAGCATAATGATGCAATCATAAAAATGCTAGATTTGCTTTACACAGCATTGGAAAATAAGGAATATCCACTGGGAATTTTTATTGACCTAAGAAAAGCTTTTGACACAGTAGACCACGCATCTACCCCACAAACTTGACCGTTACGGTATAAGAGGCCATGCGCTTGCTTATTTCAAATCTTACCTTACTAATAGGTATCAGTATGTTCCCATTAAAGACACAGCATCAACAACACGGCCATTTGATACTGGAGTTCCGCAGGGAAGTGTCCTTGATACCTGCTTTTCCCTCATATACATCAATGATTTCCAAACGTATCCCAACACCTGAAACCCATTCTCTTTGCTGACGACACGACTTATTTCATCTCTCACCCTAATCTTCCCACCTCAAACCATTGTTAACGAGGAGCTGATCAAAATATCGACTTGGATGACAGCCAATAAAACTTACGCTTAACACTGACAAAACCTACTATATTATGTTTGGTAGCAGAGCAGGAGATGCACAAATTAACTTAGGATCGACAACACTCTAATTACCAGACATAATGAGGGCAAATTCCTAGGTCTATACCTTGACAACAACCTGAATTTCGCACACCTATCCAACACATAACCAAAAAAGTACCCAAAAAAAAGTTGGGATCCTCTCCAAGATACGATATACATGCCGCAAAATGCCCTTCTCACACTATCCCCACTCACTTATTTATCCATACCTCCCCTATGCTATTTGTGCTTGGGGATCACTGCAAACACACCTAAAGCCAATAATAACCCAACAAAAAGCTGCAGTAAGAATAATTACTTAAATCCCATCCCTGACAACACACCCCCCCACTCTTCATAGATCTAAACTTACCCTGTTCAGTACATCCACATTACTATTGTGCAATTTTACATCTACGGACCTTAAATCCAATATCAAACCTTGACCCAAAACGTTTTTGATAGTTGTGACAGACCCACAGGCATAAAAACCCGACACAAACATCTTACGACATTCCCCATGTCCGACTAAAAACCTTTAAAAAATTCAAATGTATGTCAAAGGCCCTAAATCTGGAAACACCCTACCTGGAAACTCTAGAATGCAGACACATTCACCTTCAAAAAATACCCTTGAAACCCTCTTATCTCCCTGATAACCCATTAACTACTACAGAATACCATGGTGGTTCACACTTACACTCACACCCCCTTTTCCATAAAACAGAAATATTAATTCAATCTTAAAATAATGGAATCCTGTGATACTCCAATACTGAAACTATGTAGTTGCCAAAACAAAGCATTCACATGGCTAAACTTTACAAATAGTATTTAGTACTTAGCCCTAAAAACCAACTTACCTCTAATTTGTAATATTTTAAAAATAAAGAAAATTTAAAATAAGTTGCCCGAAATGCCTAGCATGTAGGCGTTCTAGTGGTACACTCTGTAATCATTATTTAAAAATGTAAACAACAACAACCAAATTCGGGAATTCAACATTGTTAAACTTTATAGGAGGGAAAGACTTTGAATTTGAATTTGAATAGTGTAATTGGGGGACCAAATGAGCTGCATAATCTTGTGAGGCCTTACTAATGATAAGAACATAAGAACATGAGAAAAGACCTGCCTGGTAAGGCAGTAGGCCTGCTTTAGTGTCACTCCTTTCTTATGTTCTTTTTGTTGGTTTCAGGTAAAGGTGACTGCATACAAGGGTCATGGGTAAGGAAGCACTGTGTTTTGATGTAGGAGGGGCCCCTTTGGGAACGATAACTTTGAGGCACTATGTGGCCCTGGCGTGCAGCGCATTCTGTACATTACAAGAAAGTTTGGATGTCTCTTCTTCCCCAGGGGGAGCCCTTGAAATTTTTACAGAAGAGTTTGCAATCTTGGCTTTATATCAGGATTATTTTGCAGTCATGCCAAGTGTAAATTACTTTTGAAAAAACTGTGGGAAAAAGAGTTGAGCATGTAAGTCAATGTACTGGATAATATTGTGGTGCCCCGTGGTTGGGGGGCTATATTCACCGGCGAGGGTTTTGGTTTGATTCCCAGCGAGGTTAAAACATGGGCGTGTTTCTTTTCACTGGTTGTCTATGTTCCCCTCAGTAAAATGGGCCTGGGGCTAGTCGACTGGTGTGGGTTGCATCTGGGATAAAATGACTAATTTGCCCAAAATTTCTCTGCTATCAGTGGCTTTATTCAAGTCTTACATTAAAATCACCTACTCACCCCCAATTTAAATAAATACTGAAAAAATTGTAAACTCATAAATGTTTAACCCGTGACCCAATTCAAACTTTGTTATTTTTAATTACATTAACCTAACGATACTCCATTCTACGAATGCACAAACAAACAGTAAAGACCATATGACCGTTTTGAAAAATCATTTGTGGTTAATTGTTATCTGTTTACAATTTAAGTTTACTACTGAATATATCATTGCTTAGTTAATCTTAAGTTAATTTTAAGCCTGCCCATAATGCTCTGCATACAAGGGGCTTTGGCATGGTTACCTTAACCCCTGTATTTTTGTATTCAATGTTTTTTTTTTTTTTTTTTAACAAACGGTGTATCCCACCCAAAGGGAGGGGGGGCCAAAAAAAAAAACAAAAATTTTTCTTTTAAATTTAGTAAATTATAGGGAGAAGGGTTATTATTATTATTTTTTATTATTATTATTACAATTTACTAGGTTTGGAGGAATAAACTAAATTTATTATGTAATTTTAAAAGTTTAGGTAATATTGCAGCGTCAGAATGATAACTTCACTCCTCAGCATACTCCCAATATTCAAAGTTCTAAATCTGCTCATTTTAAGAACATCCATACTTATTCATGTGATCTAAAACACAGAACAATTCATGCAACATAAACCTCCACTCAAATTTTCCTCACCATTTAACAAGAACACGACCCTAACAAGAACAGATTCTTTTTATGTACCCCAGTCTATCACACTGTAAAAACTTATGCACATAAAGGGCCCCCAAAATTTTTGGAATTTCATTACCAGAAAATACCAAAGTAACTCGATTTAAAATCAATTTACGACTCTTTCAAAACCCCAAATCACCCTAGGGCTAAATACTCAATATCTAACTCTACCAATAATTACCCAAATTAAACCTAAATCTTAAATTCATGACTAGACAACCCAAATCATTATTGACAAATTATCACATAAAGTATTACATATACCAAACCAGTATTCCCTTCACCAAATTGTAGATTCTTATACTGAACTACTGAAAAATATACTGAATCAGTTTCATAAAAGATTTTTGAATACATGAATATATTCCTTTGTGTAAATTTTATCCTTATTAAAAGAATTTCTGTTACAACTATGTGATTTCTTTAGTTTATAAGTAGTCAGGGAGCCATTGAATTAAAATAGCCCTGCCTTTGGCTTTAATCGAGGGTCTTTTGCATGCAGCCCATCATTTAAAAAAATATAATCTCATTTTCTTCTTCCAAAAATAAAAGAATGAATCTAATTGGAAAACTAATGAGCAAATAAAATTTCTTTACAGCTTAAGAAAAGACACTTTATTGCAGAAAAAGATTTTATTGGGCTAACACTTCATTCTGGTGGAGCTTTATTAACCCTTTCACTGTTGTTCCTGTAATATTACTTTTCTGAAGCCAGTGTTGGTCCCATAATACTATGCCAAAACTCTACTGGCTTCTAATCTTGCGGGAGAAAGCTGGTGGGCCCACACATGAGAGAATGGATCTGCATGGTCAGTGTGTGCAGTAAAAAAAACTCCTGCAGCAAGCAGTGCATAATGAGAAAAAAAAACTGCAACTGTGTTTTTGGTTGAAAACAGCGATTTTGCAGTGTATTTTCGTATGGTATTTATGGTTGTATTCTTGTTTTCTTGGTCTCATTTGATAGAATGGGAGTTATTCTAGAGAAATAGAGATGATTTTCAATGGTTTACAGACTAAAATAGTTGAAATTTGAAACTCAAGTAGCGGAAATGTTCGATTTTTGACGATGTTCAAGAGTAAACTAATCACGTCACTCTTCCAATTTTTTGTGTGAATAAAAATTCAACTTGGAAGTAAGCATAATATAAGAGGGCTTGGAATGTGGACTAATGGGAAAAGAAAATGTTATTTTAGTGCAAGGAATTGGCATTGTTTTTCTAGACTTATTTTGAAATTGGCCTTTCTTGATTTTGTATGAAAATTTGGGCCCAAAATTTCCAGTTTTGACACTTTATTGGTAGTTGAAATAGTAAATGGGCAGTGTTTGTACAGCTCTCCCCAAATTAATGACAGGGCTCCATTCCTAAAGGGAGGTCGGTAGAGAATTGGTTGCTAAGTGAGGAACATACTTACTGGTAAATGGGTTTGTGTCAGTCTTTTTAGATTTTTTTATGGGACCTTTGCAACCTTATAAGATTCTGGTAATTTTTTTATATTTATACAGAGTGTACTGTATTCTTTTAATAAAAGAATAGGGAAAATCAACTCTAATANCATATACATTATTTAGGTTTTCATACTGGTTGGAGAGCTAGTCGTAAGTCTGAGCAGTCAGTAAACAAGTACATTGTTAAGTGAGGAGAGGCTGTATTCAATCAGTAGAACAAAAGGAGTGCTAGAGAAATAGCTATGAATATAGTCGTCTGGAACAATGGAATTGGCCTAAAATAGGGCTCAAAATGGGTGAAATCGCTGATGCATAAATGTCGCAGAGACTGCAAACTTCTTGAGAATGTAATTCTGTAAGTTTTCCATCAAATTTCGTGCTATTAGTTTCTTTACCTTTGGAAAAGGATTCTCTATCATTTCATAAGAAATTTTTTTTAAATTCTTTGACACAGAGAGCAAGTTTGGGAGTAGGGGTCACAACACTAAAGGGTTAAGTTATTTATTCTAGGTAAAGGTTTACCCGGCCAGAATGGTTCTACTATAAGCTTATTCCAAAATGTATTTTTTTTTTCAATATTGTTCACAGTATGCCATACAAATGCAGTATACTGTATTTGAAATGTTGATAGGAAATATGCAAGTCCAATTTATGTAGCATAGTGGATTTAACCACAGATATGTAACATATCACTGGAGGAAAGATATATGAACCATTACCCCTTTCAGGGTCCAGATCCCCAATCTGAAACTTGTCCACAGGGTCCAAGAATTTAAAAAAAAAAAATTTGTTAATTTTTCTTATGAAATGGTAGAGAATCTTTTTCTGAAGGTACTAAAGCAAAAATTTTGAAAATTGACAAAATTACGCTATCGCGAGTTTTGGGGTCTCAGTGATATTTACACATCAGCAATTTTGCCTACTTTAAGTCCTATTTTATGCCAATTTCAGTGTTCCAGTTGACCAAATTCTTAACTATTTTGCTAGTATGCCTTCTGTTTTATCAATTAGGTACAAGAAACTACCTAATCAACTATTTCAACTACCCAATAAAGTGATCAGATATTGGTAATTTGGCCAATTTGACACAAATTTAAAAATATTCCAATTTGAAAATAGGGTCCAAAATTAACCATGCAGACATTCCTGGCACTAAAATAATATTTCCTCTGTTCATTAGTTATGTTTCCAGGCTTTACATATGAATTCCATTTTGAGTTTTTAGTCACACAAAGAATTTTTATTCACACAAAAATTAGAAGATTTACTCTCATGCAATATTGTAATAATTGTATAAATAGTATTATCAGTGCATTCATGAACACATATTAGACCCACTAGTTGACCTGGGAGGAGGAGGGTTATCACGAACGAAGACTCCATGATGGTGGTACTTCTTTTTTATTATTATTTTAAAGAAAATAAAAAGAAAGATGGAAAGAAAAAAAAAAGAGGCAAAGCAGAGGGACAGTCACTAAAGGCATGAAAGGGCATGAGTTCCCCCTCTCATCCGAGAGGACCTTGACATCACCATCAGTGAAGATGCAGTGTGAGACTCGTGCCATACCCTACCCTTCACGCCATTAAACCAGTGCTCTGGGATAGCAACCTCGCATTTACCGAGCCACCTCGGTGGACAAAACAGAAGGCAGTCGGAATCCCACCACAAAGCATACCTCCTTTGGCTGCCACCTCCCTGAACCGACAAGCAGCCTTTGGAGATACACCTGTCACCTGCAGGACACCCCACCCAACTTCTCGGAAATCCAGGAAGGGAGCAGGGCACCTCCAGATAATCTAGATTCCACGGCAAACTGCACCACACCCGAGGTATCTCATGGAGCGGGGTGAATCCCAGCACCTTCCCCTACCTGGAAACTGTAATGTCAAAGGGGAAGACCCCAGAGGCTACAAACAAGATGGGGAAAAGGGAGGGTTGAGAGGAGGGAGGAAAGGGAAAAAAGGGGGGACGGGGAGGATGGGATAGGGAAGGGAGGATTGGGGGGTATTTAGGTTCAGTCTGAGGAAGGAGACCAAAGGGTTTAATTCCTCAGACCAAGAGCCTCATCGCCACATCAAGGAACCCCCCCTTGAAGAGGAGAGTGGCCTAGAGACGTGACTGATGAATAGAGAAAATGTTATTTTAGTGATAGGAATATTTGCATTGTTAATTCTAGACCCTATTTTGAAATTGGCCTTTCTTGAATTGTGCATGAAATTGGCCAAATTACCAATTTCTGATCATTTTGTTGGGTAGTTACAAATTTCATGGACCAGCACAACCAACATAACCCGAACCAGCATGGTTTTAGAGCAGGATGATCATGTCTGTCACAGCTGCTGAACCATTATG